AAGGCTGTATTTATTAAAAGAATCAGTTTTTACAAAAACCAGTCACTTCACCATTTTATGATAAAATATAATGACAAATGAAAAAATATCAAATATTTAAAAAAAATAAAAAATGAGTCTTAATTTAAAAATGGGGAAAAAAACAAGTTTGTTGAGAAATAGAAAGAAAACTTGAGATAAAAACTAATCAGTGGCATTTTTAATATTAAAAGAGTGGCAATTTTTACAAAAAATAAAGGTTTAGTGGCATTCATTAAACTTCTCTTTGTTTTAACATGCGTTAATAGTATAAAAAGGATGGGAGTGGCCTTTTTGACATGTAATAAACACTTCTATGGCAATATATAAACAGAATAAAAGAAATTGACACTTTTGACAAAAATAATTAGTTCAATGGCATTTTAATAATTCCACTCTAAGACATAATGAGATTCAAATGCAAACCTGTATGACGAGATATTTTTCATTTCGACCATGAGGGTTATGCAAAACGATGTCCCAAATGTGTTCATACAAGAGTTGGAGCTTGTATTCGACATCACGATATGATAGGAAGAAGAGTATCTTCTTCAATCCATATCCAAATTTTATTGAGACATTTCTCACTCCCCATAACCTGGAAAACCTCTCTTTTGATATTTGGCACCCAAAGCATAGAGTTATATCCGGCATTTCATGGACATATGATCTGGGCTCCACAATATAGGTGTCAAGTTCCCAAGCCTTCAAATAAGAGCTACCATAGTACAATCCCCCACAATTGGCTAATGATATAATTGCTTCTGCAGCTCTGCTTGTGTCAAATTGGACTTTAGCATATGCCCTTCCTCCTCTTTTGCTCATCTTCACCTCTATCGCATACACGGAATTCACACGCGTATGCCTCTCAAAGAATGCTTTCGCTTCATTCGCACTTACAAGGCGAGGGAACCCAAAGATCTGAATTGTCTTTGTCTTGACCATACCCGCAAATTTCAATTTTCAATATAACAACATCCGCTTCAAAATCCTACAAAGACATGTATGTAGACTGTTAAGAACATAAAAATGAAATCCCACAGTGAGAGAATCAGAAACAATTCAACAAGCTTAACACAAGTGGTAGTAAAATGAAGGCAATCCATTAAGAAATGATAAAGCGCATTCACTAACTAATGCAAGAATACACTTTCAGCACTGTCCATTATCATTCTTTTGTTTCAATTTTGCAAGTGCCTGAAATGCTTGAGGAAATAAAATTGATTTTATGCCAAAAACGGGAAGGGATATGACAAAGTATCCAGGAAATGGAGCAATGAGTGGAATGAGCCATTTTACTTTTGACACTTTTCTTGAACTTGTTGAAAACAAATCAATCACCCAAGAGTACAAAGAAAGCAATAGGAAATCCCCAATTGAGATCCACATGTACAGAAAAGATGCCATAAAACAGGTTTTGAAAGATAAACAGGCAACATATACCCAGTTTCACAACTCATAACCATACAACTCAGAAAAAAATTCAACAAGAAAAAGAAAAGGGTTTGCAGGCTTACAAGAAAATGCAAGTTTAAGCGAGGGTACAAGCAGGAAGAAGAAGAGAGCTATTAAGTAGAGTTTATAGTTGTGTGGACTGTGGAGACGGTCAATTTCATGGTCTATTTCTTCCTTTCTCCAAAACAATTCAGCTTTTCAACTTCCTATAAACAATAATAGAGCATCGTGCTCACCCATCGACTCAGTACTACTTTTTGCTTTGAGTAGTACTGTTGTAGCTGGGATACGGACTACATTCCTATTGGTCCATGCATCTTTAATCTATTAGGGATTATTTAGATTAAAAAAAAAAAAGAAAACAGTAGTTTATGTGCTTTATGCGGCGTGTGATTATATTCGAGCAATGATATGGAAGACAAGGGGCTAAAGGAATGGTTTTGTGATGGAAGTGGAATACTACCCCCATCAGGATTTTGATTTTTAAGCCTTTTTTTAAAAAAAATAATCAATTAATTAAAAAATGTATGATATTAAATGAAATTGATGACTAATACTCCGTATTTATTTAATTTGATTTGAAAAAGTTATAATAGAAAAATACTTTTAATTGAAGAGATTATATATCATCATTGAGCAATACTAGGTTCACAAAGAGGATATTCACAATCTTCACAAACTTACTGTTTATGAATTAAATTTTCATTTTAAAATTATTTTAGACTATTTAATTTTATTTATTGAAATTCACAAATAGTAAATTTATGAAATTTGTGACCATTTTGTTTGTGAACCAAGCATTTCTCATCATCATTAAGTGTAATGCTCCACGGGGAGGGGTGTCGTGATCTAGCGTGGCATTGCCACCAGTGGCGGATCCAGGATAAATATTGACGAGGGCATGACTAACAAAGAAAAATTTTCCAAGTTGAAAGTATGGGGGTAGGGTCACAAAAAAAACTCTCTTCGTTTTTAAAATAATTTCTCTTTCATTTTATTCGTTTTCCCCAAATTACTTCCATGGCTAAATTTCACCGTTGGCCTTTCAAATAATTACGTTATGTACGATAAGTCTTTCAACTTTGAAAATTTCATGAATGGTCCTTCAGGTCATGTAACGGTTGTGGTTGGTCCTACAACTTTTAAAATTCTATAAATAATCCTTCAAGTCACGTTAACATTGCATGATTGGTTCTTCCATTAATTTTACCATTAGCCCATTCTTTTTTTTATAAATTTTCCATTTTAAATACATGTGAGGCAACCCTTTTTTCTTCATAGAATTGGACCATATTTAACATAGGTCTATTTTTAATAGTAATAGTTACTCTTACTTTAATTATTCTAATTTTTTAAAATAAAATAAGTTACTTTTGTTTTTTAAGTTGAATTTCATTAAAAAATATCACCCGCATTAAATTTGTTATCGAATTTTAACTTTTTACAGTCAATACGGTTGACTTTTTTTTACCAAAGAATTGAAATAAATCTACAAAAAATATAACTCAGTTTATTTCAAAGAAAAGGTTCTTCACTTGTATTTATAATGAAAAATGAAAAAAATTGTATGGAGTAACAAAAAAATTAATGGAGGGACCAACCACGCAATATAAACGTGACTTGAAGGATTATTTGTGAAAATTTTAAAGTTGAAAGACTAATCATGTAATGCTAACATGGCTTGAAGGACTATTCATGAAATTTTCAAAATTGAAAGACTAACTGTGTACGAGGCAATACCTTGAAGGATCAACGGTGGAATTTAACCTATTTCCATTTTTGTAAAAAAAAAGACTAATATACCCAAAAAAATTCGTTACATTATACTTCATCCAACTTGACTTGATATAACAAGTTTTTTAAATGATTTGTCTTTCTCCAAAATATATTGTTTGACTGAAATTATTGTCATATTATTTACTATGAAAAATGGTGTAAAATTAAGAAATAAAAATAGCATATTTAAAAACTATATCAAAATATATACAAAATTAGCAGTGACATGGCTATACTCCGTATTATTTTACCAAATTACTAAAAAAATAGAAAAAATAAATAAAGTTTGACTCTGTGAATATTTAACAGATAATTTAATTTGGGAAGGAGAAAATACTCCTAACACACATACATTCTTCTAAGGTGAAAAAGAGAGAATTACAATTTTATTTGATGGAATGAACATATTCTTACTGTTGTTCATTGCACATTAATACTGATTTTTTTAAAAAATGATAGTAATAGTATCATGCAAAAAAATTGCATAAATCAATCGTTCATTATTAGCGTATTCACCATAGTTCTTATATCAAACATCTAGAAGTTAGATTTAAGACATCATTTTATTTAAAAAACCATTTTTTTAGTTATTATGAACGCGGCCCGGCATGACCTGCAAGTATTCATACAGCTCGAGTTCGGGTTTCAATTGTTAGGCCCGCAAAATGGGCCAGACCAGGCTCAGACCTAAAATACTCTCATAATTTAGTATCTCGGCCCTGCTCGAAATCTTTCACGACCCACACTTTAATCTGGCCTAATCCAAGTATATAAGGCCATCCAGTGTACCACGAGAAAGGGAAGGGGAAGGGTGATGTGGCAGCGGGAAGGGAAGAGGAACACTGCCCCCTCCTCCCCTATGCGGGAACACCACCACCACCACCTCCTCCCCTGTTTTTCCCGTCCGATTTTTCTTTTTTATTTATTTTGCTTTTTTCATCTCCACCCTTAGTTCTTTCTCCTTTTGACGCTTCACGCTTCTCTCTTCTTTCTTTATTTTTTTTATTTTGCTACTTCTTTTCCATTTTTAGTTTTGAATTATTTTTCGGTTTTTTTATTTTGACTCTTTTTTTAATTTGATTTTTTTTCAGTTTTTCTATTTTTTTAATTTATTTTTTATTTTTATTTTTATATTTTGTAAATTTGTATTATTTAATTGTGTTTTATGTTTTTACTTCAATTATTTTAATTAAAATTCTAAAACAAATTTAAATATAGTTTTTTTAATTGTGTATATTAATTAATTAATGTATCAATTTTATTAAAATTTTAGTTAAATTTGAGTGTATCACTTTAAATTTTAATGAAATGTTCAATTATATTAAATTTAATAAAATAAAAGTTTGAACTAAATTTTTATTGTTTTATTGTTTTTAGTTTAATTATTTATATAAATGTTAAACAATAATATTAATAATATTAAAAATTGAAGGGAAAAGGAAAAGATATTTTCTTGAAATGAGAAAGTTGGCGTTGACGTGGAAGTTTGCGGAATAGAAATCATGAGGGCGGGGCCTAAGAAAACAATGACGGTAAAATTCGTGTGGGCCGGCAAACTTGAGTTCTACCATCTTGTCCATAACCGCATAAAAACTTGTTTCAGAATTATGACCAAATAGAACCGGCTCGTGGTTTGCAAAACAAACACTAATATCTCATCTGTTTTCAAAATTTATTTCTAAAGTTCCTGTGGTTTCAAAATGATGCACCTGTGCCCCCTGATCATTTTCCGACCATTTTTCCGGCAAAGAAGGGGGTATTGGTTTATATTTTTTAAACCATAGGTGGTATCACTCCTGATTTTTATTTCTCGCTTATTTTTTGTTTTTTCCATTTTTCTATTTTTTTGTTTTATTTATTAATAAAGGTTTTTTAAAATTATTTTTATAATGTTCTTAAAATTTAAAGTTATTTTTGTTTGAAAAAATTAACATTTAATGCATATGTACGTCTCAAAATCTTCTCATATTTTGCAATTGACTAATTCATTCATTCATTAGGTACAAATGGGATTTGATGATTCCGAACAAAGAGACATACCGTTTTGTAGTCTAGCCCCATATTATCCTCCGGAGAGTAATCCTCGGAGCTTATGTCCACAAACTTGATAGTACCATACTCTTTGTTTCTCTCTTGCAGCATCTTCACCTGAAAAGACCAATTACCTCCATAATGCTCATGAACATATCAACAAACACATAGAGTACCAAGAAGGACCAGACCTCTCTCATGCAAAGCGGACAATCTCCATCATACAGCATCTTAATCTTCCAATTCTCGGATCCTGATGGTTCTCTTAATCTCCCCATTCCAGCCGCCTTCTCACTTATACATCTAATTCCAAATTTAAACCCTGCGTCAAATCAAATTAACCCATATGCATAAGTTCAAACAGTCGGCCTTGAGTTATGCCACCGCTCAAACCCGACCAAAACTCCACTTTTTCAATTGTAATCTCTTCAAATCAAAGAATCGGCGTATAAAAAGAGGAGAAATTTAAAAAAACATGAAGGAAGTTGCTAATACTTGCCTGCAGGCTGATGAATTGAATATGATGGGAACCTCTGAAAAGAAGCGGGGCGAGGAAGATGAGGATGGTGTCTCAGACTAGGAATAGATAACAGAGAGGAGCATATTTGCCTTCCTCCTATGATACGATACCCTGTTCTCACAGCCATTTTCAATTCTTCTTTCCTTCCAAAATCCCCAAATGTGGAGGACGGTTAAGATAACGAACCCGTTACTTGTCAGCACTAGCATTTCCCTATTACTCCCTCCGTCTTATTTTATTATAACCCCTATTTGGATTCACTTGACAGAAATTATTTTCAAATTATTTTATATGATAAATGGTATATAATTAAAAAATAAAAATTACATATTAAAATACTACATCAAAAAATCTACAAAATTAGTAGTGACAATAGTAAATTATTTTATCAAATTGCTAACGAATATAGAGAAAAAAAGTAAATAAAGTTTGACTCTGTGAATAGTAAACAGACATTATAATTTAGGACGGAGAGAGTATCATTTTTTAATGTCACATCCTTTTTTTCTTTGGTTTTCTCTATTTCACTTCAATATTTTCTTTACTTTTTATCTTTATGTTAAAAAATTTCTCTCTAGATGCATATTATTCCCTTTCTCATTTTCCCCTACCATCTCTAACCATTTCTCATAGGTTATTTCCATCCATATATATTCCCTCCCATTAGTGATGTTCTAAGTACCTACATGGATAGCCCAGCTGGTCTAAGGAGAAGATGTCAAACTCATTGATCTTTGGGTCGAATCTCAACAACGGTAGTGTGAGAGTTTTATTATTTGTAATAGCTCCTTATATGTATTGATCACGAGACGACCTCTCTAAGGACCATATTGAGATTATACAATAATTTATACCCTCTCAATATCATGTCGGTTCGGATTGTAGAGGCGCCAAGGGTGGGCATTCCACCTTAACAGTGATGCTCTTTTTGAGTTTTGGTCTATTGAAGTTTCACCCCATCAATCTATTCACTCCATATTCATCGACCTACCATCCATCATATCATCTGTTACATACTGATGGGCCGATGTCCAGCGGGCAGCCCAAATGAACCATTTACACAACTTCGGGTCAGACACTTGGAGAATACTCAGGTCTGGGCCGGCCCATGGAGCCAGGCCCGGTTGACCTTAGACCAAAAGTAGCTGGCAGAGCCAGTCCGGAGAAGGAGACGGAACAGATTGGCCGTTACAGAGCCAGAAAAGGGGATCGCGCCCTTAACGGGATAAACTCCATCGATTATGCGTTACCTTAATTGCATATAACTCATGTATCAATAGATGGGACCCGAAAGGGGAAAACTCAAGCAAAATCAAGCTAATAACACATACCCAATTCTCGAATTCTCGTTCTTAATTTTGTTCTTACGATCCGCTCTGTAAATCGGATCATTTGGTGGATTTATTGTCCATCAAATTGGTGCTTTCATTGAGAGTCCGAGAATTATACTCAGAGGAAATCCTCCATAGAGACGATGGTGCAAATGCGCAGTAACGCCAATATAGGTACTGGAGTTCCCCAACAGGGGGAGAACAGCACCACTGGAGGTCGGAACCCTCCCATCACCACCGGGGAGGCTGAGGCCCTCATTCAGAGGGTTGGAATCACGGCCGAACAATTCAAAGAGGTGCTGGCCGCACTTGCGCCCAACCGCGAGGTTGTGGTAGAAGATGTGGCTGGGGGACCCACAGGCGGGAAGGCTGGACCTACAAGCTCCCAAGGAAAAAAGAAAAAAGTAAGGCGGTCCCAGAAGAAGAAGGCGACCAAGCCTAATGGGAAGGCTGTGATGGCTGATGCGCTTTCCAGACTGGAAGAAGAGGACGACTCGTCCTCCTTCGAGCGGATGTCTGCTTTTGACCGTTTGGGAGACCCCAAGTCAAAGAAGCCTCGGACCTCTGCGTTCGAACGGCTGCAGGATACTCGGTCGGCTCGAAAAGGCGACCTGAGAGACACACTCAAGGAGAAGAGAGGGGAGTCCACAGCGACCTCCAAGGTCGGTTCTGAGGAACGACGGACGACTGTCGGGGATAAGGGCGCAGCTGAGCTGTGGAAAATGTACGAGCAACTGGAGAAGCGGCTGGACGCCCAAAACCCCTATCGCCAGGCGGTCTTCAGCGAGGTAACGCCCTTCTCTAGAAGGATAATGTCCTGCCCTCTCCCGGATAATTTCAAGACTCCCCAGATCAAGGCGTACAACGGGACGACCGATCCCCAAGACCACCTCGCCCGCTTCGGGGCCAACGTGGTCATGTATGCGTACCCAGAAGAAATCAAGTGTCGATGTTTCCTGGCGACGTTGGAAGGGCAGGCTTGTGAATGGTTCCACAAGTTACCCAAGGGGTCGATAGATAAATGGAGCGACCTGGCCCACAAGTTCTTGGAGCACTTCGCATCTAGCCGGAGACAGAAGCTTCCCTTCTCGCATCTGCTCAATGTGAAGATTCGGAAGGGGGAACAGCCCCGGGAATTCATTAATAGGTGGGAGAAGGAGGCTAGGGACGTCCAAGGGGCGGACGACCAGGCCCTGATCGCCATGCTCCAAGCTGCACTCCCCCAAGGGGATGTGCGCAAAGAGCTACGGCGGAATCCTCTCTCAACCTATCAAGAGATGTTGGCCCGGGCGAAGTACTTGGCATTGGAAGAAGAAGATGATGAGCCACCAGTCCGGAAGGAGAAGAAAAGTGGGCCACCGGTGGCAGATGAGAAGAAGAGAAAGGACTATGGTAAGGGGCCAAACCCCACCGGGCATCATGTGAATAGGCATCCTGTTCATGCGGTACAGTCGTTGTCTGCTCCTCCTCACAGTCGGGGAAGCTATGGTGTGCAGGATGCACCCAAATACTGTGAGTACCACCGTAACAGCACCCACAATACGTCGGAGTGCGTCACGTTGAAAAAGGAGATGGATCAGCTGATCGCTAGAGGGCCACCTCCTCGAACGGAACGACCCTCCTCAGGTAGCCGGACCTGGAGGAGGCCGCCAGCCCCTACAGCAGCGATCACAGCAGGAGAGGGGCAAGAAGATGGACGGCGGCACCTAGGACGAGATTGTGACGATTTAGATGAAGAGGAAAGGCAAGGTCGCCGACACCTGGGGTGTCGGTTCATTATGGGAGGAAACACGGGAGGAGATTCGGTATCCTCCCGGAAGAAGTGGAAGAACATGGTGTACCTGGCTGAGGTACAAAGGCCGCCGCTGCCTAAGCGGAAGAAGAAGGAACCTCTGATTTTCACGGACGAGGATTATCCCCCAGTCCTCAGCCCTCATAGAGATGCTCTGGTGATAAAGGTGGAAATCAATAATGTGGTTGTTCACCGAACTTTGGTCGATACGGGTAGCTCGGTCAATGTTATGTACAGCAACACCTTTAAGGAGTTGGGGTTGTCCCGAAGCGACCTGAAACCAATCCATACACCGCTATCAGGGTTCACAGGGGATACTATTGAGGCTGAAGGAACTACCACGGTGAGGGCCGGGGTAGGAGATGGCACCCACCGGCTCTGGATCAACATGGAATTTATGGTAGTGCAGCTCGATTGTGCACACCATTTGATTCTGGGACGACCAGGGTTGGAGGATCTGGAGTGCGTAATCTCCCCCGCTCACCTTTTGCATTCGGCAGTGTTATGAGAATCTGACCTATGGTATGAACAATAGGTGCCCGACCACTACCGTCCTGTTTGACCGGTCAGGTTTTCCGGAGGGATGACCGGTGCTTTCTTGATCTCTTGGCATTCTTCTGTGTTGACCACTCGGACTACCGGGTCATAGTGGTGCCTTGGCCGGCTGGGCACCGGTGGTTCTTCCTTCTTGACTGGCACCGGTTTGGGTTTGTAGCCATGCTCAGCCTCTTTCTTCGCCCGGAGTTGAGTTTCAGCCTCAGCAAACTCCCATGCAGTGTGGTAGGCTTCCTGATACGTGGCCGGGGGTTTCTGGCAAAATTCCTTGTATAGCTCCCCGGCACGTAGGCCATTCAAGGGTAAAATAAAATGTAAATTATTATTACCCTAATCAGAATGATACATCAATGTCAAATGCTGAACCATAAAAATGGTTCCATGCATGTATAGGACAGTACAACAACAAGCCCAAATGGGTAACAAACAAACAACAATACAAAGTTGGCACACAGGCCGTACAAAATAAATATCCAGAAACAAATCAACAGTGTAATCCAGCACGTCCAAGCTCTTGCGGAATCCACTTCCAGCTTCCAGGACCCTGCACCATCAACGGAAATAATACGGTAGGCAAAGCAAGAGCAAGGAGGGAGTATATATTGGTGGCACAATCCAACTCCAACCATACGTACTCCCTCTCAATTAAGGATCAGGTATCGCATAAATTCACACAGGTGAACCGCAAAGCTACTTCAAAAGTCAGTCCAAAGTTCTTCATCCATGGTTGCATCCAACACAAGCAAGAGTTATGTTATCCTTGCCATAGATACCACCGGCATGCCAAGGGCCACGCCCCGAGTAGCAGAAGTTGTCCACCATCGTCGAGGAGGACAACTTAACACCAAAGTGACCTCACCCTGCCATACAAACCCCTCCCCTAGGTCTACGGTCAGAGTGCCCCCCAGGTATTTGGCAAGCATCCCCATATAGACGAGGCACAAGTTCACCAGGTTGTCCCACAAGCCTTCATCTACTATTGCCTTCGGTTGTTCAGAAACAATACATAGATAGGCAGGCAACCTGCAAAAACGACCTCTGAAACCCGAGAAAGAAGCCCAGTTAGCCAGAAGCTCACTTCATAGCCAAGATAGTCCCGGTTCTTCCAACAACCCCAACCGAAAAGGTCAAGAAGAGCACCGGGCAGCCTGCCAGCAAGACCCAAAGGCAATAACAAACATAAAACCCAGCTCCAAATCGAATGGTGGTACCTCCGAAATGAGGCAAAAACCATGGGCAACGGGAAACCCTTCAATTGCCCAAGAACCACCACAAAACAATTCCAGCGCAAATCCAAAATCAGCCCATGATCAAGATCAAAATACAAAGCAAATAAACACACCAAGGCAGCCCAAGCAATAGGAAACGAAACCGAGACCAAAACCAGGGACCTAAGTATGCGGTTGGCTCCATCTTCCCTTCGGCCTTCCAACCCAAAGCAAACAGCAAGACCAAACTTTCAACCAGGAAATGCAGCTACACGCACACTCCAGGTAATGTCTTCTTGCGGCAGACCTCTCTTCAAGAGGAGGTGAGAACCTGACCCCTAGGTCATGCGCAAAAATCCAAAACAGCAGCAGCAAGAGCACCATTTCACAGGGTATGGTCTTCCATAAAATCAGTTCGTCATGGTTCCACAATCCAGACCACATCACACAGGCGCACAAATGGCCCCTTCCAGTCCCGAACAGCCCCAAGCCAGCTGAAGGCAGGCAGCAAGGAGGTTCAGCAAGGGCCCAAGCAAATGAACCTTTAGGCAGCCCCAAACCAGCAACACAGCGGCCTTTTCCCACCCAGAGCCGTCCTCAATAGGCCATGATTCAGCACTACAAACAGCAGGTAGTATGGCTGCCCAAAAGCTGCCAAAAAACACCAAGCATGAATGCTAAATAGAGACATGAGGGGCCTGGGCAGTGGTAGACCAAACCGAGGCAGAAGAAGATCATCCAATGCAAAAGGGAGAAGGTTGGCCTGCCAGCAACCTATGCTAACCATCCCCATCCCTCAAGAGCTTGAGTTCAGCGAGCAAACATCAAACCCATAGGAGGGTCTGTTGTTTGAAGATGGCAGCCTGGAAATCAAATTTTCCAAACCCAATTATGGTCCTCACCCCATTCAAGTACAAGTCACCTTACAACAAGCAAAACCAGACCCAAATGCCAATCAAACCAAACAGGCAGTAGCCTCTGGACAGTCTCAAATGAAGAAGATGAAACAATACATTAAATGAAGATTATGACCAAAATGCACCAAAGAGTCAGTCCACATTCAATCAGTATAATGCTCAAACAACAAAGCCAACCAGCAAAAGCAACAGCCCAAACCAGTAGCACAGCCGCAGAGAAAAACTAAGAACGTGAACAGTAGTTCGAGCAACCCAAAATCAAGAAGACCAATTCAAGTTATGTGAATCAAACATCCAACAATAGACATTGAAAGGCCCCTGAAAAACAAAGTCAAAGCCAAAAAATTGGGAGCAGAAAAAGGCAGCAGCTGGGTAAAACCTGGAGTTCAAAATCGGACTGTGAACAGTGACTTCGAATCCAAATAATGCTCAATTCGTAGAGGTCTTCAATTGGAATGATAATCCGACTTCAGGCCTAGAATAAGCGCCCCAAGCCGCCCCTAAACCCCCAAAAATTAGCCATCAAACGTGCTGGAAACGAGGCCAATTGGAATCTTGATGTTCGTCGATGAACAGTAAAACTCAAACTTTGACCTGCGATTTCACCCAATTACAGCAGCGTAATCCAAAAACCAAGCCTGGGAATGGATTCCTCGGCTCCAAACGAATCAAGAGCTCCAAAATCGTGCCAAAAACATCAAGAATAAGGCTGGAATCGGAAGTCTCAATATGGATGAACAGTGCCGACGGGACTGCCCAGCGCTAGAGAGAGAAATACGTCCCAAGCCATCATTGAGAGCTCTTTCACGTAGGCCATTCAAGAGAATGGACAAGACGGTTTTGTCATCCATCTCTTCCACCTTGTCTACCTCTTCCTTCCACCGGGTAAGAAATTGAGTGAGGTTCTCAGATTCCCTCTGCCCGGCTGTACTAAGATAGGTGAATTTCTTCCTCTTAGTACAGTTCTCCTGGAACTTGGCCTTGAATTTTGAGGCCAAGTCACTGAATGAATCAATACTTCCCGGGCGAAGTTTATTGAACCATTCAGTAGCCCGATTCCGCAGGGTTTGGAAGAAAAGTAGACACTTTTCTTCGTCTGTGCAACCGTTCATGGTTGCACTCTGATTGAAAGAATCCAGGTGGATTTCTGGATCCTCCTTCCAGGTGAACCTAGGGGCATCGATCTTGACCTTTCGCGGGAAAGGTGTCAGATGGACCCTTATGGTGAACGGGGACCCTGCGAGGGGTTTGCCCCGGTCATTCTTCTCCCCGACCTTCTTCTCCAACCTTTCCAGTTTTGCCTCCATCTGTTGGACGCGGTCATTCGGGACGGTTAACCGGTTAGCCACCGGCACCCTAGGCTGGCTTTCTGCTTCTTCTTCTTGACGAGAGGCCCTCGTCCTTGCTGGCTCCTGCCGGTTGGACCGGGAGCGCAGGGTACGGGCAGGCTCGGCCTCCCTCCCCTTGCCTAATCGGGCGAACGCGCTGACATGAGCAACGCTTTGCCCCAACCTCTGCTTGGCTGACTTTCTCTGGCCTTCTTCCCTGTCCCCCAGCCTTTCGAAGGCGGAGTTTCGGGAAGTTGCTGGGCGGATAGTTTTCCCCTTCTTCTTCTTGTGGGCTCTCGGAATGTCCCACTCGTCGTCCCCGCTCTCTACTGAGACGCAATGACCATCAGGAGTAACTAGTGGATTCGTACCTTGCGGGGGACGTGACGGCCCAGCGGCGTTAAGCGCACCGGTCAAATTGACGGGCACCACAGCACTGACTAGCTGGGGCTGGAAAGGCGATGGCTGCGGCATCGGCGTCTGGAACGGCGTCACCGCCATCGGAGCTTGAAGGGGCATCGTCTCAGTGCCTGGAAGGGCGAACGGAAACATGCCAGGGAGGAAAGGCATCCCCCCATTCTGTTGGCACATGGCCATGACCTGGCCAAAGCCCTGGATGGCTTGTAGGTTGGCCAGATCGTTCATGAACTGAGTCATGCTTGGTGGGAATGTGACCCTTGGTCCAGCGGAAGGGACAGGAGTCGCGAACGGGCCTACCACGCTGGGGGTTGGGATTGAACTCAGGCCCAACGGCAACACAGGAGCGGGAACAACTGGTCGGGTAACGGCCACAGGGGTGCTGGTTCCCTCATTGGTGGCTTGCACCTGAGTGGAAGTAGCGTTGATTTGCTGGTTGGAAGACATTTTGAGTGGTGTTTTTGTGGGTAGGTTTGTGTTTAGAAGAGAAGAAACCTTAACGGTCCCACGGGTGGCGCCAAAAATGATGGTGTAAATTACTTGACCGGTCAAACTACACTAGACCGGGTCTAGAATAGTCTGCTCGATTTGGTAAAGTAAAGAAAGTAAAAACACTCAGATTGACCGGTAGGACTTTAGGTGGAACACCTGTAGCCCAAGTTATATTATAACAGAGAATGCACGGTCACTTTTACAAGGGAGTTTAGAGAGAATGAATTCGGATCCCTCTTTCCGAGGTTTACAAGCGTATATATACCAAGCTAAAGGGGACAAGGCCACATGCGGCCACGTGGGGGCACGCTGCTGGCGTGGTGCGAGGTGACTGGTCTCGTCCTTGGGCTACCTTGGCGTCTTGTGAGGGGGATTACTTCCCTTGTCGCTTTCTGGCTTGAAAACATTCCTTCAGCATCTCCACTGATTTCCCTGCAATGCCAACCACTACAGTCCAAGTCCCTTTGGACTCTTCCTGCCGACTCCAAAAACTACGCCGGTTGGTTCTTGAAGGTTTTGATAATTTCGAAGGATGAATTAGACGCCAAGATAGATTGACCGGTATACTATCCGAAGTACACCGGTCAACTCTTTGGTCAACCATCTACCCTCCTATTTACGATTTATCTCCTTCTCTTAAGCTTGACTTCTTTGACCGGTCGATTTTCTGGTTCTGGCCGTTGACCGGTCGTGGGTGAAATACACCCATCATATAACATCTATCCTCAAAATAAGAGATTCATGTTTTTTTCTCAATATACGAGTTTGCATTGTGACATAATGACATTATATAGTGATATTATATATTGGCATGATTAGCATTATACTCATTTTTGGAGATAAAAATTTGAAGCTCTTATATTATTAAAAAGGGATAATATCTTCGAATATGTTTTTAATTCCTATAAGTTTCGAATAGGTTCTCGTATTAAAACTTGAATTTTTTGATAAACTATTTTTTGTGGTGTACAAATTTTGATTGTTTATAAATAAACTAGAGTTATACATTTTTCCTATCTTTTAATTTTTATATTAAAAGTGGTTTAAAAGAACAAATTCTCCAAAAAGTTCTTTATAACGGGGGAATTTCCATACTTAGTCGATATTATGAAATATTATTTTCGTGGTCCTTATTGATTGGGTACCATTCCACGTTTGGTCCTTGTCTAATGGCACGTAGATGGAAAAATAGACGGAGGACGAAACGTGGAATGGTAACCAATTAATAAGGACTGTCTACTTAATATTTGATAAATGTAGACTAAATATGGAAACCTCCCATTTATAAAGGACTATTTAGAGAATTTACTCTATATAATGTATATAAAGATTCCGAGTCGGGCCATCCTGCGGCTTGTTTGGATCACCTACATTGAGGAATATGGGCATCATGTTTGGCCCGAGTTTTTAGGACAGGGTCATGATATCTGGGCGAAAATTTAATTTCAGATCCAGCCCGGATCCGATTTCACGCCGGTCTACTCTCAAGAACACAAAACATTGTGTATGCTTTCTTGAAGGTTCGGCTCACCGCTCACTTTAGCATTATTTTTACTTTTGAATTGAAAATTAGAAATTATAAAATGACAAAAGAATAATGAATTTTATTTCTAATATTTATGGAATGTGAAGTGTTTTTAATTGAAAATATCAAATGACCAAATAAAATGATGCATTTTACTTCAAATATGAACTGAATGTGAAATTTTTTTATATATGAAACTAGTGTATCACCTGTCCGAGGTGCGATGCACAAGAAGAAAAAAATTATCCTAATTATGAAAAACTTGTAAAATATTTAAAATTATTGAATATTAGTTTATAAATAGTAGATATGTCCGCACTTTCATTTATAAATGTAATTATTCAATTAATTTTAAATAGCCATACAAACTATAATAAATGAGTTTTAGAGTGTAATACATTTAATAGATAATATGAGAATCAAAGATAGTAAACTGTGCTATTTAAGAGTAATCAGACATTCTTAAAATCTCCTTAATAACTGCATTCGTTGTAGTATTAGTTGGAGTAATTTCAAAATTACATATCATTATTTTCAAATTCGCTCGGGAGCATACCCTAGACATCACCACATACAACTTTCCATGGCTGAAAATTGGTTTTTTTTCAAGAACAGGTCGACACGAGATAGAGAGATTGTCTCTGTCTTTTGTTCATGGTCATCGCATATCATACCATAGCCGAAAATTGTCTTATTTGAAACTTAAATGACCATATCATATCTGAAGGAGTTAATGAAACTCGCAAGATCAAAATAGTTTGTCTTACATTTTTTCCACGAATCATCTTTGCTTCTAATAGACAATTACAAAGTCTTGTAATAATTAATTGTGTTTCGTTGCAGAGACCATTAGCATGACCAATGTTACACAAAAACATCATTGGAGGCTCAACTTTTAGTGTTAGTTCATGATTTAGAATTTGTGAAGATCTAATCGAGTTCAAATACTCTATAGTGTGTAAATCACAACCTAAAGAAGCATTCATATCAGATTGACATGTATTATCACTACTCAGGTAAACCTTCTCATCACCTTCATTCATGGTCATCAGGTATTGATTTATTGATTCTATGACTTCAAGTGTTGGGTCTAAAATTTTTCTTTCTTGTAGTAAACTATCTTGACTAAAATCTGTTATGAATACATGGTAAACTATCTTAAATAGTACTATGTATTAAACTAACTGTTTGTAACGTCGCACAAGGGAATCATTCGAACGTATGATGTCTGTCATATACTTGATGGATAAATACTTTAAGAACTCAAGAATGACGGGTTATTGTCAACATGTTGGCCTATAAAAATACAATTATTTTAGGCTTAAATAAATAAGGAAATTTATTTCTTTGAAAAACTAAATGAGTTTATAAATTATAAAGTTAAATTCATAGATACATGCATATAAAAAATCACTCAATCCATCCTAAAAAGATTACCATACTTTACTATTCAAAAATTATGAACACTTTTATTTATTTTCACCCTTTCATTGATTAGTTGATAAAATAAAATAATCTTGTCACCTATTATTTTGTAGAACTTTTGACTTAGTTTTTAAATATGCAATTTTTTTTCATTTTCTTAATGGATTTTTAAAATAAAAGGAATTAAAAAAATTAAAAATTTACTTCGTTTAGCATAATGTTGCAATGATTTTGGGAGAGAACGAGTATATCGTCATTTGGCCCACCCAAAAAATTCTCGTATTATAATAGATTGTAATGGCCCAATAGATTTGTTCTATTCCAAATCCAATTACACCTCCTATTTTGCTCAATTAACCTAAATTTATCTAACCTAACCTACTTCTAACCCATCTCCCATTTCTAACCTAACCTATTTCTAACCTACTTCCCATTCGCCAATGGTAAAGCCGTGCGATGTATATACATAATCCCATTTTCTTCTTCGTTGATTTATGATATGTTCATTTTTGGTCTTATTTTATATCTCATATTTTAACATTCTTGCGCTTAAATAAAAATAAATCAAGAAATTTAAATAAATTTTTATGCTTAAAAAGTCGTTTTGAAAATGTTAATAAAAAAATCGTTCAAAACTAAATTTAGTTTTCCAAAGCATATCATGGTAAAATTAGAAGAAAAATCTTTCAAATTGAAGATCACATGTCAAGAAGAGGCTAAATCACGCTTTGGAGCAAAAAGATTGAAACAAAATGGAATAAATGCAAAAATTGGGCCAAAACGCAGCCCAGGCCTCCGAGAGGCGTGCGTCCCATGTCCAAGTCCACGGCTATGCGTGTGACGTTTCGTATCCGGAAAAAAAATCAAAAGTTTTGACAGATAATTGTTATCATGTCTGCTTAAATATTTTAGGAATGTGAATTGAGATAGGGTAGTAGACATGTAGAAAAAATAATTTTGTTGGAATATTAATTTTAATTAATTAAAAATGCTAAGTTGCTAGTAATTGTGGAAATGTTTGAATTAATTAATCTCGCTAATTTGTTGATTAATCCTTGAAGAATTATTATATCTATTTTTCTATGAATGAGAAAAATAATTTAGTCAATCAATATTAGCACATTAATTAAACCTAGAGATAGTATAAAATTAATGGAGTAGTTGTGACAAAACTTCTCATTAGTCAAATTAATTAATTAATTTAATAATACAACTAGTTAAATTATTTGAAAAACGCTTACTACTTGAAATCAATTCATATTCTTTTTTATCAACTCAAATATTTTGTTATTCTGTGCAATCAAACTCAAACTTTTTGAAATTAGAAAACTTCTAATGCCAATTATTAAGCTTTTCCTAACTAGTTTTTAATAGAAAAATTATTTACATGTCAATCCTTGTGAGTACGACACGGGAATAAATTGAACTCTTTTAGAGAGAAATTTACTACCACTAAAACTCTTTCGTCAAATAGCATCGTTTCCGAGGATTGGCGCATAATATTTTTTATAAAAAAATTATTTAGTTAGCCTAGAAGAAAATTGGTTAGGTCAATTTTCTAGCTTCCTTTCATCGTTTGGCAAACTACATGCAAACCCGCTCTGCTGGTGGGGGTAGTTTCGCTCTGTACGCTGATACTCCTAAATGAATTCTATGCCAACCGAAAAATTCACCCGGCGGGAATTCTAAAGAAGAAGAAAGAGAACAAGAAGTCGAGCAACCTTTTACTCGAGAAATGGAGGAGACCAACAATAACAGAATGAGACGGACGGTGCTCCAAGCAATGACGCGCGTATGTACGGAGGAAGATCCAATCGGACTCCTCAATATTGATGCTCACACGTTCGAGACCAAACCAACAATAACCCAAAAAAGTCTCGGAGAATAAACTTGGGGGTCTAAAAAATGAAGATCCAAAGGCTCATATGTTATGGTTCTCTTGAACTTGCCAGACGTTCAGAACGAACAGAGTGTCTGTGCTGATCATGTTAAACTATCGCTATTTCCTTTCTCCCTTCGAGATAGGGCAACATGATGGTTGAATAGGTTCCCAAAGGGACACTTTACCACATGGGAGGCGCTTAATCAAGCTTTCATTCACAAATACTTTCCACCATCTGCCATTGCCAAAATCAAAAGACCAATCCAGAGTTTTTCTCAGAATTCGGCTGAATCTCTAAGCGAGGCATGGGTAAGGTTCAAGGACTTGAAGATCGAATGTCCAATTGCCCTAACGAACACCAGAGAGAAACAATCCTACCATGGAGGATGATGAGAGACAAGTGAGCCTGAAACCTCTGAAGGTGTAGGGAAAGGTAAAAAAACATAAGTTTGATTTATTTGTACATTTTTTAAAGAAACAAAAAACGGCGAAGTTAAGGGAATTTGTAGATATTGTGGGGAAATAATAAAAATGGGAATTTTCGGGAGTTATGGTTCGCTGACCAAACACCTTAGGGTGAGGCACCTCGTGAAGTACGCCAAAATGATGACAAAGAAAGGACAAGTACAGACCCAAATTTCACGTTTTGCAAACACAAGTAAGGACGACATTTTTGCTTATAGTGATGAGCAAAATAAGCAAAAATTATTGAAATGATTTGCAAGGAAAATTCACCATTCATGTTTTCTGAAAAACTTGGATTTATTGATTATTGTAAAAACGCACTAAATCCTCAATCAAAAAGTTTTTCAAGGAAAACCATTAAAAGGGAAATTATTATACAATATAAAGTTGGAAAAAATAATTTAGCTAATTTTTTTATTTCTTTTAATTATCGTGTTTCTCTTTGTTATGATATTTGGAGTGAAACTTACCATAATTTTTTGTTACATGGGTGTCAATTGTCATTGGATAGAGAATGATTGGATAATGCATAAACATGTTCTTGTATTTCGTGATTTCAATGAATCTCACGCAGGTGATAATATTGTTTTTTAGCTTGATCGTATTTTGAAAGAATACAATTTACTTGATAAAGTCTTTACATTTAGTTTTGATAATGCTACTAATAATACTGTTGTCATTTCTAGACATAAAGAAAATTTTACCCCTAGCAGCGCCATGGTAGATTTCTACACCAAAGGTGTGCCCATCATGTTTAAATTTGTGTGTTCAACAGGGATTAATAGATATGAGGGGAATCTTGACCAACATTAAAGCTGGTTTAAGATTAATTTAGGGTAGTCGTAATAAATCTTATGAATGGAAGTCTTACCGCAAATCTAGGGATAAAAAACTTATAACATTTGTTAAGGACAATACAATTAGATGGAATAGTACATATAAGTTGATTGAGCAGATCACGCGATATAAAAAAGAACTTGTTTCATTTCTCATGTATGAACTTAATCATATTATCGATTGGAATGAACTTGTTCGAGTTGAAAAATTGAATAACGTGTTAGAGGTTTTTTAAATAATACCGCTCTTACTTTCTCGCATGTGTATGAACCTACGGAAAACAGATTTTTTCCAAGTGTATTACAATTGCTACATGTTTTTGTGAAAGTTTATTTGATCCACAGTTGTACGTACCCTTATGTGTATCCTGTGAAGGATAAGCGGTCTGCTTATTATTTATATATTCCCGATATTAATAAAATTAATATTATTTGTGATCTACGTATGCTTTAAGATTGAGAAGTTTAAAATTCTTATTGAGTATTATTATAGTTGTTTTTTTAATGGAAATAGTTTTTTTAATGAATTAGTAGAATGGACAAAACAAAGAGATAATGCTTTTCATCTTTTTGAGTCCTTATTTAAAGAATTTCAAGTTACATGTGGTATTCCACTAGAATAAACAGTAGCTCCTCCTGCCCCGAAGACAAAAAAGGTTTTAAAGGGATAGTCGATGGCCTCTTGGCGGAAAAAGGTAAGCATAGCTCTTCGTCGATGAGTACAAGTCGTGTACGTGTAAGTTCGCACAACAAGCTTGCGATGTACCAAGGCGTTCCATGTGACTACGATGAAGAAAACGATACCGAGTTCGATCACTAAAAGAATATAATGTAATTGCAACACACATTTTGTTGCATTTCTTCAATAATTCCATTGCTAATGTTTATTGCAACAGCTTTTCCGTTGCAATTCAGTCGTTGCAAAAACCCTTATTGCAAACGCACTCCTGCAACTGAATTTCCGTTGTTGAGCATTGCATCGGATAGTTGCAACAGAAGCATTGCAACGAATATTCCGTTGCCACATTTTGCAATGGTATTTTCGTTGCAATATATTGCATCCAAAGTTTGCAACCATATTTTCTGTTGCAAAAAGTTTGCTACAGAAAAAGTGCAACAACAACTCCATTGCTAATGTTTGCTACGGAAAAGAGTTTTTTGCAACAGAAATTGGTAACGTATCGACTGCAACAGAATGCTCCATTGCAAGATTCAAAAAATGCACAACGTAGTGCTTGTTCAATTTCATACCATGCACAATATATATACAGTGGATACTCAAACACACATGTATTCAACAAAGCCAAAATTTCAATACTATTTATAAATCAAAATAACCTCCAAGTACTTATCAAACATCTGAATAATAATATTTGATCTAATGTTGTAAATAAAAATAATTAAAGCA